ATGATGATAAGACATCATTGGTTTTAGTTTACTTATAAACAATATTGCTGCCAAAAAATACAAAAGCTTACAACAAGTCAGGTTTCACTTATAGATATACTCACTGGAACTTAACAACGTGGTTTCGTATGTTTACATATACATCCACAGACAACTAAGTGTACCTATACACATCAAGATAAGTGAACAAGGTAACTGGCTAACAAAATTTGCCTATAAAAGGTCTAGTCACCCTCTTAAATTCATAATGGTTAGAATTGCTATCACTTATTGGACCACTAAAAGAAACTGGCGAATAACGACATTTTACGAAAACCAAACCAAAAGATAAATGTGTAAGGTAAAATGAGCAAATGTTGAGATAGCCAACTCGAAAAGTGTATTTTCTACCAACCAGCTCCCAACAGCTTCTCACCTCTTCGTGTCAAACTTTTCACGCCCCAACTACTACCACGCATTTGTCAGCTTCGTGAGGAGTTCGTGCAGTGCAGTTCAGTTCTTGCACAACCAAGACACGAATTGAGTTCCCGCAGAGCAAACGAGGTGGATCCGATCAGTCCCACGGAAGATGCTCATGTCGAGCGCATAGTATGGGCAGGTCAGTTGCAGCTTATCCTACAGGAGACCCTTGGTCTAGCCGAAGTATTGCTAAGCGACCTGCCCGGCTACGCCAGATTCCATAAGGTATGTTCTTTTTCATGTATGATGCACTTTGTAAATGCAACTTAAAATCACTTAAATTACTTTACTTGTATTCACACTAAAATATGAATGGTATATTTTGGTTTTTTAATTGGGATGAGTGTGTAATTCGTGAGCAAGAACCTAATCGTCATATATCGTTTTAAAAGCTCTAAGGATGGATGGTGAGGTTTTTCCTATATCAATATGAGTTGACTTTACAATTATAAAGGTTTTTCTCATTTTAGCAGGATTATAATTTCGACCTCACCACCAACAGCTTTCGAAACCGAGTCGTGCATATCGTGGCGGCACATTGTCACTCTCCTATTCCATTTTCAGTCTCGGAGTTATCTAAAACGGCTTAGAGTTTCTGAATTCTAGACCGATGATTCAATTTTTCATGGGTTACTGGTCTGATGTAATTTTTGAGGCAAGCCAGGCCTCGCTCAATTGTTGAAATGATGACAATGAGGCAATTAGCACGTGGACATGAGTAGCAAGATGGCGTGGTCCTAGGTTTGGTCGTAGTCTCATTTAGCTGTATATACTTTGTATGACCTCGTTTTCGCAATTTGATCGGTGCAGCAGGGAGACTGTGTAGGGAGCACCCAGTCCTGTGTCATCTGCTATGGACGTTCATGGCCGTGTCTAGCTTTAGACCGCAGACTTGGTGCATTCCCAGAGGTTTCGCTCGCATCATAGTCGTTTCGTTAGTGAGAGGTACCAGGCTGGGCATCGAATACAGCTCGTCAAAACGACAAGTGCAGGCAAACTTCTTGACCAATCTTTTTTTGTTACATCTCTCCTTCCCCTTGAACTAGCTTCTAGCTCTGCCTCCTCATACCTTAACGTTCGTACGGCCAATCTAACTATCTACAACTGCCCGTGTATTCATCTGTTCCATTGTTGACTATGACAAGGCGGATTTGATGAGGCGTAATCACCTTCATCGTGGGATTCATACTCCATTCATAGGGCTTCTTAAACTCAATCAGCAATTTCATTTGGCCAGCTACAGTCCCCAACTTGCCAACTCGTCCTTGTTGCAAATAAAAATCGTTCTCTTATTTCACTGGCTGTCTATAAGCTTTTGATCTGAGCCATTGTTTCCGACATATTCGGAATCTATTCACATGCCTGGCCTCAAAAATATGCGAGGATATGTGCAGTAGCCTTTGAAATAGCCACTTATATACCAGGATTCTTACGCCTGCAGCAGCCTTATGTCGCAGTTATTATCATTCCTAACTCCAAAACATTATCTCGCACTCTCTTGAGTCCTTTATCTTGCTCCATTTGGAACCATTAGCCTGAGGAGATAACACTTCAATCGCCCACTTCTGAGTCAAGCTAAAATCTCCTCTCGCCTTTTCGGTTTAAGTAGGTTACTCGACTTTCAGTAATTCTCGAATAAGAACGTAGAGTCTTCTTGGATTAATGGTAACTTGAAGATTTTGTAAGAATAAGTTACAGATTTTACAATTTCAGTTATACGACGGACAAAAGCCTATCCCATTTTCACCCTAAACAAGAGAGGATGTCTCATTGTCTGCGTTTACCTGAACGTCGTAGTAAAGACAAACGTCTGCAGAACAACGGGAATCGGTCGTCGACTTCCGGTAGGATCAACCAACAAATCTCCTTGTCATACACATTCATACAAAATGAAGGAATCCACAATAATACTGAGGACTAATAGTACAGTTTTGCTACAATTCTATACATAGGCCTCAAGATTTTATTGAATTTCACATAGCTTTGCCTTCTCAAAGGGATTCTCATCCAGGCTAGACTAGACTTCAATTTCGACCTCGCTAGGCCTTATCTCACACTCACATCGAGATGTGAGTACCGTGGCGACTTTACAATTTCATACAGCCACGACCGCCAGTTTGTCACTGGACGGATGTTTCATTCAAGAAAAGCCGAACATCTCTATTAGGTCTCAGTTATTTTTTAAGAATTACTGATAGTCTCGAAGCCTACTTATGTCAAAAATAAGTAACGTCATTAGCTGCAATTGCAAATACATGTTTGCACATGCTTACGTCCCAATATAAATGTGGTTTGAAAGAGATAAACTTATCTTA